GAGGGAGTGATGCTGCAGTTGCCATGGGAATGGAATGGAATGGAATGGAATGGAATGGAATGGAATGGAATGGAATGGAATGGAATGGAATGGAATGGGGGGGATTTGTTTGCTGTGGCTGTGTGGGAGCGGGATGGTGTCCATCCTGCGAGGTCAGGGCTGTGCAGCTGCCTGGCCCACCATGGAGCTTCTCAACCCCCTTCCTTTCCGCACCCTCATCTACCTGAGCTTGCTGGTCTCCTTCCTGTAAGTCACCCCATAGCCATGGGCCGAGCCCCATCCCAGGGACGTGGGGCAGCAGAGCTGCTGTTTCATGCCAGTGTCCCTGAGACATGAGAGCCAGGCATCAGCTCAAATGGCCTGGATCTGCGCCCTCCTCCCCACCACCCCCTCCAGCAGCCATCCTCCCTGTCGCCCTGCTCGCAGGTGCGGCTGGCTGGCTCTGCATGTCACACTGCTGGTCCCCAGCTCCTCCACTGTCCTCTTCCTCCTGGCTCTCACTAGCTTCATCCTGCTCAGCATAGTCGACCTGGGGCTCCTCCAGCTAGGTGGGGTGACAGGGAAGCAGGGGCTGCTCCATGGCGGGGCGGCCCCAGGGGCTGGCCGTGGGGCTGGGGGGACACCGTCTCCCCACGTGTCTCCTGCAGCGGTGGCCTGGGAGGACAGGCTGAAGCAGGGGCTCTGCGGCGCAGCGAGACGGCGCTGCCTACCCAAGTGCCACCATCACAGCTGGCCACGTGTCCTCCGCTGCCCCCTCTGCAACTGCTCCGTGGAGGTGAGGGACACGGGGCACCCCAGGAACCTGGGGGCTCTGCGCCTGTCCGAGTTGCTACACACCCCACCCCTCAGCCCCATTAGCCAAGACCTGGGCCCCTGTTCCTACACATCCTGCCCTATATACTGTGCCCCGCACCTAACCTGGCACACTGCACCCTATAAACCCTATCTGTAGCTTGCATGCTCAGCCCTACACACTGCACCCCATATACACGCATCCCTATACATTACACCTTGCACACCCAGCCCCACTCCCTGCAGCCCCTACACACCGTACCCTACACCTAGCCCTATACATTGTGCCTGGCACACACAGCTCTCCATGTTGCACCCTCTATACCCCCGTCCATACATCCCACACACTGCACACCCAGCCCTGTGCACTCAGACACCCCTTGCACGCTCCTTGCACACACAGACACACTCACCCCAGCCTTGCACAAGCACACACACACACCCCACCATGCACACGCGGCCCCTGCATGCAGCACTGTGCAGAAGGTGGCCACAGCCCTGGCTGCTCCTGGCCCCACGGGGTGTACGGGAACAATGGGCTCCTACCCACCAGCATTCCTGTGCCACACCAGTTTCACCAGCATTGCCTATGGCTGAAGAAACACATCAGCTCCTACAAGATCTTCTGCACCTGCCTCTTCGTGACGGTCACCGCGGACTACATCATGGCGGTCCTGCTGTCCTCCCTCATCTACCTGGTGCTCGTCCCCCTGTGGTCCATCACCACGGCGCTGATCTGCACGTATCCTCCGCCCCGGGGAGGCAGAGCCCTGCCCCGACACGCATGCACATGTGCTGCACCGCCCAGGCTGTCGCGTGCAGGAGCTTATTCCCTTGCCTGCACATAGCCCCAGGGCCAGCACCACCCATGGGTGCCCACTGCACGGGGGTGCGCGGTGGCCCCCTTGCCCAGCACACCTCTGACTGTCCCTGACTCACTGCTCCAGCATCATGATGACCCTCCTCACCACTGTCTACCTGAACCTGACTGAGCCATGGGTCCCCTGCATCCCCCGAGCGCAGCGCACCCCGAGGTGCCAGGTACAGCTGCATCCCGCCAGCCTGGGGGTGAGGGGAAATGCAGGACATGGCTGGACCCCCAGACCAGAGCAGGGGGGCAGCCCCATATATCAATGCTCTGCATGAGTTGGTCCCACCACGCATGCACATGCATGCAACGGGGGGTTTCATCACTGCACACACACCCACACCCATGCCCTCTTGGTGCCAGATGCACCGGTGACACCCAGAAACAATGACCCACCTCCACCTGCACCAAGCCCCCAGCCCCATCACTGTGCCCAAGCCCACCTCATCCCACCCCGCGTGGGGCCAGGACACATCGTCACGCTGTCCTGCTGTGGATGGCATGCTGAGGGGCTGGGTGTCACCACCCCAGAGCTACCCCCCGGGGACACGTAGGGCCCTCAGGCCTGCAGCCCATGGCCCTGAGCCCTCCCTACGCCGGCAGGCTGGGACGTGCCTGCAGCTTGCTTGCTCCAACCTGCCCCCGGAGCTGGTGGAGATGGGTGTGGAGATGGGAAACACAGTGGGATAGGATAGTCCAGGGTCCCCCCAGCTTCTCGCCTTATTCTAGCCGCTGTCCCATGCTTGGGATGGGCGGTCCTGGGGCCACCAGGGTCCGTGGCCACCCTTCTCCCCCAGTCACCCTTTTCCACCTAGGCTGCTACGATGGCCAAAAGCTGGCAGGACAGGCAGGAGCCCACAGCAGGTGAGCATCCCCTGGCATGGGCAGGATGGGTGAGGCTCTGGGGAAGACCCACCAACTCAGCCTCAGCCCCAGACCCTCAGGATGCTCCAGGGCAGAGCAGCACCAGGCACGGGGAGCCCCTTTCCCACAAAAAACCCCTTCAGCAGAGAAGGAAAATGGAGCACCGAGACTGGAGCCATGCACTCACCAGCCCAGGGCAGGGGTGGTTTGGAGGCTCACAGCCCCCTCTGCATCGGGGTGGCTGTTTTGCCCCAAGGAGCTGGCAGAGGAGCCAGCAGCAGCACTGGCAAATCTCCCCATTTGCTCAGTTAGCTTTTTTATTTTAAACAAAACTGTTTGGCCATCAAAACCCTGCCCAAAAAGAAAAGCCAAGCAGACCCTCTCAGCATGCCTGCATCGCCCACGCTGCTACTTTGTCAGCGTTCCCCAATACTTGGAAAAGCTCTAGAAATGCAAATATTTGTGCAGGTTTTTAGACAGTTTTCCACACGTCTCTAATTCCCCGCGGTTATGGCCAGAGGGGCCAACCCTGGCGAGCACAGCAGGTTCCCAGCTGACCATCACCATCTTCCTCATGGCCAGGACATGGCAGGGAAGGAAAGTCCTTCTTCAAAGCCCTGGTAGGAGCTGGTAGGAGGCTAAAATGCATTTCTTCCCATGCTTTCCTCTTCCACCCAAAGCCTGAGGCTGCAGTGGACAGCAGGGATGCCAAGGAGTGAGAACCTCACACCCAGCTCAGGCTGTGGTCCAGCCAGAGAAGTGGACAATAAAGATCTTCACCCTGAGCTTTTGGTGATCCATGGCCACTTCTGTCCCAGGACATAGAGGGATGGACCCTGCTCAGCAGGACAGAGCAGCCAGGGTGCTCCCTCTCCCAGGGGACATCCCTCGCTCTGCCCAGCCCCTGCACTGGGCAGGACCTGCACCCTGAGAGCAATGGGACCCTGCAGTGCAGGGGGATGCCTGGCACCCACCTCTGGGGGAAACCACACTCCACAGGCACCTCATTGTAGGGATGCCCACGCTCTGGATGGCCACATATGGCCCTGGTACCCCCCACCCCAGGGGTTTAGGGGAGAGGCAGCATCCCCACCCCACCAGTGTCCCAGCAGCACCCCGCTGAGCCGCTGGAAGCAGGAGGGTGGGCACAACTCAAGAGAAACAAATGAAACGTGGAAGTCAATCAGACTTGTGAAAGGACCAGGAAAGCTTTTCCCAGGGCACTGGCCCTGTCTGGCTCCCCCCAGCACCCGCAAGCATTGCTCCAGTGAGGAAACCGCTGTTGAGAGTTTGGTGGAAGTGGAAGGTGGCCAGATCCTGCTGGTGGTCACACAAGGCTGCTGCCACCACCCGCCTTCGCATGCCCCACCACAACCCACAACCGCCCAGCGTGACTGCCCCAGCGGGG